AAACCATTTCAGGTGACTACCTCTTGAAGCTCATGGAGAGAATGCCAAGAGTGTGCAAAGCAGTAATCAGAGCAAAGGGTGGCTATTTTGAAGAAACTAGAATATAAAACATGTTTTCAGTTATTTCACCTTTTTTTGTTAAGTACATAACTCCACATGTGTTCATTCATAGTTTTGATGCCCTCAGTGAGAATCTACAATGTAAATAGTCATGAAAATAAAGAAAATGCATTGAATGAGAAGGTGTGTCCAAACTTTTGGCCTGTACTGTATATATATACTGTTCACAGCCAGCTTAGGCTAAGGGACCTGATGATGATTGTTGCCATGGATACTGAACAGTACCCATGGTAGTGGTATTGTAACTCTAACCACTACCATTTGTGCCAGTTCAGATTGAGTACAAAGTCTTGTTAGCTTAACATTGATACATTAATGTTTGTACATGTAGGGATGACTCCATGATGTTTTTTGGCACTAATCCTGATTGAACATTGGTACCTGAAGAGTAAGCTCCAATCAATACAGATGGTGACTTCTAAATCTGATACAGATCTAACAAACAAGTTTCATTTTATTCTTTCATCAAACCACTCACAGAGTACCTTATGCTAATTATTGACAGCTGATATGACTTGCTGTCAGAGAAGTTTATCACCTTAATTGGTGAAAGTGGTGGTCAGTGCCGGCTAAAAATTGAAAGCTGCTAACTGAATGTTTTGTACACTGAACTTTGTACATGATGAAAAGGAGAGCTTTGGAGACAAGCAGATTCGTGTGATCTTATTTTACTAGTCCAGGTTTCAGAATTCAGAGTTTCATGCACCACTAGGCATGGATACATTTACTTCCACACACTCTAATGTTCAGTCTCGTGGTCAGTCAAACGCTGTACCGTAAAGCCCAGTTATTGTAAAGGAGAGCAACGCTGCAACACCAGCAGGCAGAGGCAAAACACAGTGCAATAAAGTAACACAGTATAGTACAGTAAAGACGTACAAAGTGCAGTGAAGAACCACAGCAGAGTACAGTAAAGTAACACAGTAGAGTGCAGTAAAGAAACACAGCAGAGAACACTTAAGAAACACGGTAGAGCACAATAGAGAAACTCATTAGAGTGCAAGTTAAGAATCACAGTACAGTTCAGTTTAGAAACACAGTAGCATGCAGTAAAGAAACAGCTGTAAGTAAATAAACCCCTCTTTTCAGGGTCTTGCGGTCCTGTTCGGTGCTGTTTCTGTACCAGGCAGTGATGTTTCCCGTCAGGAAGCTCTCAGTGGTGCAGGAGTAAAAATTCCTCAGTATTTGAGGGGATACCCAGAATTTCCTCATTTTCACACTCCATATGACTAATAACAACTGTCTGTTACAATATTTGTTGTTACAGTGGAAACTGCTCATAATGATAATAATTACAGTGATTAACTGCTTAAAGTTTTGGACAGAATCATACAGATTCTGTTTCAGTAAGTTGCTTATAGTAATCAAGAAGTCCACATAAAAGTCTTCATTTGGGTCTTTTCCTACATAACATTAGGGCTGCCACGATTAGTCAACTAATCGATGTCTAATCGACTATCAAAATAATCGGTGACTATTTTAGTAGTCGACTAATCGGTTTGAGTCATTTTTCATAGAAAAGTACTATAAAAGTACCCCAAAATACTCTTATTGCAGCTTCTTACGTTCAAATATTGGCAGATTTACACACTCTCACATGACAGAGAACTAAAACCCTTTGGCGTGAGTACGAAACAAGACATTAGATGACATAATTTTGGGGTTTGGGAGAGACAGACCGACATTTTTAAACATTTTAACACATTTTTCGATAAAATGATTAGTCGACTAATATAAGAAACAGTTGACAGGTTAGTCGACAATGAAAATAATTGTTAGCTGCAGCCCTACATAACATGCGGAAAAAAATAAACTATGCTTATTTTGTTTTATTTATTTATTCTGTTTATTTATTTTTACCCCCACTGTGATACTTCCTGAGGCTGGTGCTCTGTGCAAAATTAAAATGCCTTTACCTTATATTGCAATATTTCCAGGTGAAATAAAGGCATTTAGATTTTGCACAAACCTATCAGTGTGCCTTGGATAAACTTTGTAGAAGACTTGCATTTTATAGTTTTTACTGAAACCATATTCCACAATGAGCTCTTCACACAAAGGAATAAGCACAACACAACTGAAGTATCCAAAGAGCACCTGTATGTGATCACCACAAGGACCATGCAGTGCTTCTATTCTGTTGTCTTGTCTTCACACTTTATTACACCTTTTACCCTAGTTTCCGTTAGTACGATAACATGCACAGTTAAGTCGAGCTACGGTTATAGCTCCACCAGGCTATTTAATTGGACTACTGTCCTTGTCACAGTATACAAGCAGGGAAGGGCAATCAACTTATTAACCAAAGTAGGTCCCACTCTGCTACAATTCG